GGAAAGTCATCAAAACCACCTTTCTTTTGAGCAGTTTCAACAAATTGGCATGTTCTGATGTGTTTTGTTGAAAAATTCCCAATCAACTCTATTTAGGACCAATAAGGACCTGTGTCATAAAAACAAAGGGAAGGGTAACAACCTTTATGTATGCAGTAACATAAAATCCCTCCTGGTCAGAGGTACAGGATCACTTACCTGTAAGAGATTGATCAGTTCAATTAACCTAGTTGGCACCTGACCAGAAGGACCAATGGGAAAAGAAGATACTTTCAAATCTGTGGGGGTCAGGGGGGAAGGTTTTGTTTGTGCTCTCTTTGTTTGTTCCCTCTTGGGAGAGAGAGAGAGAGAGACCAAGCAGGTAAACCAGCTCCTAAAAAGATCCTGAAATGATACATCTAAAATTACAGAAATTGTAAGTAATAGCAAGGAAATGCATTAGACTATCTTTTGTTTTAGCTTGTGGATTTTCCCTATGCTAAAAGGGAGGTTTATTCCTGTTTTTGTAACTTTGAAGTTGAGCCTAGAGGGGAATCCTCTGTGTTTTAAATCTTAGAGGTGCTTCTTTTACCTTTTTCTTTATAATAAAGTTATTTTAAGACCCTAAGTGGTTTTAGTGTCCGAAAGATAAAGGGTCTGGTTTGTACTTTTATTAAAGGCAATTGGTTGGTATATTATTCTCAAGCCTCCCCAGGAAAGGGAGTGAAGGGGCTTGGGGGAATATTTTGGGGAAATAGGAACTCCAAGTGGTCCTTTTCCTGAATCTTTGTCTAAATCACTTGGTAGTGGCAGCAATACCCGTACAAGGACAAGGATTTGTGCCGTGGGGAAGTTTTTAACCTAAGCTGCTCGAAATAAGCTTAGGGGGGGTTTCATGTGGGTCCCCACAGCTATACCCTAGAGTTCAGAGTGGGGAGGGAACCCTGACACCCCCTGATTTCTACAGTGTTCACACCTATTTCTGGTAGCATAAGCCAAAAGTTTGTTATATGAATGGAAGACTTTTACTACACTTATAAAGAATAAGATTTCATGTACTTCCTAATTATGCCACTTAAGAAGCTGATTTTTTAAAGACAACATATATAGTTGAAAATACATGTTACTCCTCTTAGATTTCAATAATCACAGCAGCTCTGTGGTAGAAGACTGAAAACTTTGGATTTCTTCCATTAATGTAATAAAGCCCAAGAGCTGGGGAGGAGAGAAAAGGTTTGAACATAAGCAGGAGATCCCCCTTTGTCAAAATGTCAGAAATCTCTAAATCCTCATCTTCCCTTTATTTTTATGAAGCAGAAACCACTTCTCAGAAGATATCAGAGCCAAAAATATTTAAAAATTTCAGCTAATAACCAGCATTAAACTGATTACTGTATACACTAAGATGTGTTCTAGGTTGGGGTGGGCAAACTTTTTGCCCCAAGGGACACAGCTGGGTGGGGAAATTGCTTGCAGGGCCATGAATGTAGGGCTGGGGTGTACAGGAAGGGGCTCAGGGCAGGGGCTGGGGGGGCAGGAGGGGTGTATAAGAGGACTAGGGGGTGGAGTGCAGTAGGGGGCTGGGGTGCAGGATGTATAAGGGGGCTCAGGGCAGGGAGTTGGGGGGGGGCAGGGTGCAGGAGGGGTTCAGGGTGTGGGTTCCAGCCCAGTGCTGCTTACCTGGAGTGGCTCTGGGGTGGCAGCAGTGTGCAGCAGGGCTAAGACAGGCTCCCTGTCTGCCCTGGACCTGCGCCACTGCTGGAAGCAGCTGGCACCATGTCCCTGCGGCCCCTGGGAGGGTGGGCAGAGGGCTCCACCCACTGCCCTTGCCTGCAAGTACCTTCCCCAAAACTCCCATTGGCTGCAGTTCCCTGTTCCTGGCCAATGGGAGCTGCGGGGTGTGTGTGTAGGGGGGCAGCGCATGGAGCCCTCTGCCCCTCCCCCCCCCAGGGGCTGCAGGGATGTGGGGCCCACACCACCACGGGGATGGCAATCCCACGGGCCAGATCCAAAGCCCTGATGGGCTGGATCTGGCCCACAGGCCGTAGTTTGCCCACCCCTGCTCTAGGTGATAGAAATCGATCTCTTAAAAAAAAAAGGCGTTCAGTGACTCTGGGGAGCATGGAATATTCAGGACACAAATAGCTTTGCCTACACATGGCAGAAACTATTATATATAGGGAAAGGAAAAGAATTAAACACAGAGGACAACATGTTCAGTATGTTTTGCTAGACACCAGCAAACTATTTTCTAGTACAGTCCCCTATTGTGCTATGCACAGTATAGAAAAGATACCATTAGACTGTCATTTAGAGTAAAGAGACTTCTGAAAGAAGAAGTTGTTTCTTTACTATCATTGCCCAGTTTTCTACAGCAGAAGAGAATAGCTTTGTTTTACCAGGTCTAATTATGACCAGAAAACCAAGCCATTGGTGATCAGCAAAGTTTAAAGGGAAGCAAAGTCCCACAACATGACTCTATGAGGGTCAAAAGCACTAAATTCTGTTTTCAACTTTGATGGTCTTGCTCAGTTACAGTACTAAAAAGTATAATGGGGATAATAATCCAGCTTTGCAAAGCAGTTTGATAGCCTCAGAGGTGGTAGTATAGAAATGAAAGGTAGTAGTATATGCTCAAGTACAAGGGAACGTTGGAAGTTACTTAGAAAATAGAGACTATTCTAGTCAAACTAATATTCTTTGACGGAATGTACACACTACATTAAAGATTCTCTTTATTGAATAATTGCAAAACAATCCCATTCTTTTCTAAAAACTTTGTTGAGATCTAAGTTTATTCATGACCACAACCTACCTCAGCTGAGCGAGGGAGTATTACTCATACCTACATTTTAGAAAGTTACTCAATTAAGGCTTAGTAGGCATGTTCCATTCCTAAAACCTACAATGCACATGTTACAATTACAAATTTGACTATTCTATCTGAAAGTTATTTGGCAGAGTTAAGGGCACTTTTAACTGTTAAGTGGCTGAAGGCTGGAACATCATTGCCACAGTAATGCCATTCAGGCTACTAAGCTATTGCAGCTGCTCAATGCTTGTTTTTAGAGCTTGAGTGTTATCAGCACTAGCAGATAGTGCAGCCCATACCTCAAAGACCACAGTTCCGTGACAAAGGCTCTTAGCCAGCTTTATTGCCCTCTAGTGCCCTGGCTCCATTACAGGTACACTAACAGGAGTGCCAAGGGCAGCTTAGTCAGCAGTGGGAATTTCTGCTGTCCTCTAAGCCACACAAAGGGTTAAGGTAATGTATCCATACATTTATAGACTGAGACAAATAACTTACATACCACCTTACATGTTTCATAACAGCTGCTTGTTACCTCCCCATGTTCCTTGCTCCAATTGTCTCAGGCAAAACATCCATAATTATCACTTTTGTCAAACCCTCATCTTGTACTAGGTGAAGATGTACCTGTGCTAAGCTTTTGGAACATCTTCACACCCATACCCAGTACCTGATGCTTCTTGGGAGTGCCTGTGTTTTAGCAAGGTTAGCAGTACTCTTGCCAAGTTCATGTACTGGACAGTGAACTTGTAAGCATCTGCTTTAATACATGGCCTCACTGATTCCCAGCCTTTGGTTCAGGCCTCAGGTCTTGCATCATACCACGTGGTCCATGTTCTCTATTACAGTATCTTAATGGATGACCACCACCACAAGAAGCCTCTGTGATGCCAAAACATGTTTCCTGACACAATAGCTATGTACTCTGCCAAAACTCTCAGGGATCAGAGGTTCAAATCCCAGCAGAATGAACTGAGTTCTTAATTTATGTACCATGGAAAGAATGAAGTATCATAAAGGTCATTGTGTGTGGGCCTTTGAGGCAAGCAAAACTTTAGGATCCATATATCAATGAGACTATGAAAGCACCCATGGGACTACCTGTAGGCATAGGGCCTTGTTTCTGTATCTCTAGTCAAAGCATTCTCTCCCCCTCCAAAGCAATAGTGTGCTGCCTGATACTGCCCTTTGCAAAAGTTGGTTGCATGTTAGTAGTGCTGCATGCATGTAGTTGTAAAGCACCAAGTCAAGCAAGTTGTTTAGCACAGCCATTTTAATTTTAGTATCAGCCATGGCATGTAACTTAAAAAAAAAAACCTAGATATTTAGCATGAATATACCCACTGGAGAAACCTCTGCATAAAACAAATTGGAATTTAACAGTTTATTTGTAATTTTAAAAGCATCTGCTATTACATTAGTTGGGAAATTGCATGTTAGAATCAGTACTGTAATAAAGCTGACCTAATTAAAAACAAGAGTTTCATGAAGGAAAAAAGTCATGCTTAGATTTCATTATTATTTCACTTAATTGTTTATTTCCACCTTCAATTATTTTATGAGAGTTTCCTTAGCAACCAACTTTTTCTCACTATAAAAATAAGGGGAGAAAGACACCCCCTCCCATTTTCTAAAAATGAAGTCTGTTATGAGCTTATCAGAGGCTCTTTAAAGCAGAACTAGTGAAATGGAAAGAACTCATTGTACTTGGACAGAGGACAAAAGGCTTATAAGTCAGTTTTGAACTCATGATTACTACTCTGAGTTAATCTCATCTGCTGCTATATAAGGAGCATTATTGTTAATATGAGGACATTGCTTCAGGAAATAAACTAACATCCTATCTTGTGATATGGCTGGCTTTTTCCATACACTTTTACAGTCTCTGAATTGGGAGGCTGGATGTCTGAGTCCATTCCAGAACTGTTTTCCAGTTAGGATTGCAATCTACAGCTATGTTATTGCTTAGGGAGCAAATTTTCATAACTGCAAGCAGAACAGCATAAACATTTTCTGTTTTGGATTGGCAGTCCATTCAGTGGAGTTAGTAAATCCAAGCTTCACCAGTAATATTCTGTAGTAATGCTGCTAGGGAAAACTGATAAATTCCAGTGCACATTGCACTAAACCTTCATTTTGATATTATGTAGTCTGTAGTTAAAGCAGTATACAAGGACTAAAGCAGAACATAATTGTGATCAAGTCAAACAACTATCCCGTATGCTATCATTTATTAAAAAAACAGAAAACGAGACCAATTGTAGAGACTATCATCTACCATACAAGATGTATCATCTTATACAACAAAGGGTTTAAGATTTCCAACTGATCCACATGAAGATCCTAGCGTGAAGACAGTTTGCACATGGCACTATTTTTTACGTAGCCAATATAAAGGTATTCATTACTTTCCTTTTAACACTTTATTTATAAGGTGCATTCTCTCAGTTTTTTGTCAGCTTGCTTCAAGGAGATCCACGTATTCAACATGCTTGAGCGCAGTTTGGCCCACACCAAGTGGTTACTTAATCCAAAAATCTGAGCAGCAAACTGGGCAGCTCCTTCAGGTGAGAGTATAGTAGGACAGCCAAGACCTGTTGCAGAAGAAAAAAATCCAATCTGTTATCCAAATAGGATTTATAATTATCATAAAAATTACTAACAAGTAATTTTACAGGCCGTGAGGGTTACTGCAGGATTTTTTATTTTAATTACTTTGTCCAGTCTAATTTAAAAAAAGGTAAAGCATAAGCAACCTCAATAACCCTAAAGATTCTCACCTTATTCCTTCATTCCCAAACAAGACAAGATTGCTAGTTTTCAACTGATAGTTTCAACATGCCCCAAACTTTTCTGCATATTTGAAGAAAGTGGAATTCCCTTGCCTTTGAGGATTTAAAAAAAAAAAAAAAAAAAAAAATCCATCCCATACGTATGGTCAGTGGTTCTCAGACTTTTGTACTGGTGACCCTTTTCACATAGCAAGCCTCTGAGTGCAATGCCCCCCCTTTATAAATTAAACACCTTTTTATATATTTAACGCCATTATAAATGCTGGAGCCAAAGCGGGGTTTGGGGTGGAGGCTGACAGCTTGTGACCCCCCAGTCTGAATGAGAGAGGCTAAGGGGTTCTCAATGTTGCTATAACTACTGGCAACAATGATTGTCAGCAGATACCTTGAAATCTGAATAGACTACTGAATGTATAAAGAGAACTTTTCAGTTTCTATGAAAATGCAGTTTTTAATTTCAAGCTACATGCACCCCTAGAACTGACGTATTTTCACAGCACAGTAATTCTTTCTACATTAAAGCATCACAGCAAGGATCTTTTAGTTTTATATGATCAGTTGCTAGGTTAACAAACATACTAAAACAGCAGTACTAACAAATTTATTTGAGCATAAGCTTTCGTAGCCCACGAAAGCTTATGCTCTAATAAATGTGTTAGTCTCTAAGGTGCCACAAGTACTCCTGTTCTTTTTGCGGCTACAGACTAACACGGCTGCTACTCTGAATACTAAAACAGTTTCATGAAGGTAAAATGTGAAAATAATTCTCAAGCTGTTTTTTTTTTTTTAAAGATGTCATTAATTCTGATACCTATTTTAAACTTCAGTTGTCCGAGTAAGAATATAATGAAAGTTAAGTTTACTCCTCTGATTTTCTAAGGCTCCACCTCCATCTATGCCAGGAAATTGAAATTTTAACGACAACAGTCAACAAGATTTACCCCACCAAACCATCTTCAGCACTGGCTGAACCGACAATATAAAATGGGACAAAGGCATTTTCAGCACTGTTGAATCTGGCAGATGTGTCCAGTATTTAAAAAAAAAAAAAGGGGGGGGGAAGGGGCGGCGCTAATTACTACAAGAATGTAACTACATGTACCATAGGTCAACATGATGCTTCTTACCACTGGGCAGTCTAAGAGAAGACCAGACATCCTGGGGACCCCAATCGGCGGAGAGAGGAGGACAGTTGACAACTGGATATGACGTGTTACCAGACAGCACTGGTCCCAAGCCATTGCTTCTGCCAGCTACCGCCACAAACACAGTAGGGATTCCATCACCTAATACACACACACGCACACACACGAGCGTTAACAAGTAAATTTAAAAAACCAGTGGGGGAAGGGAGGAGAGAGATCTATGCATTTTTCCTTTTCCCCCACCTGCTTTCATGGAAATGCTGTCTAAATACCCCGTCCCACACAAACACCTTTTTTTGAAATTCTTTTTATAAAAATCAGTTTAGTTTTACTGCTGCTCAGATTTCTCTTTTGTGGAATACAATGTTGTAATTCCCTATAGTAATATTCAGTAACTGTCAGTCACTGCTCGTTACACCATCTACAGAAGTAGCACACTAGGGGCAACTCATGCACCTAACCCCTTTCTCAAGCAGGGGAAGACAACCTTTAAGATTCATGATAATGGTGGGTACTGGCCATTTCTTAATGGAAACTGTTGAATAACTGGATTCTTTATTAATTAAAAACTTTGGCCTGTTGCAACAAAATTAGTGAATATCAGTTCTGCAAAGTTCAAGATAAGATCCTCTAAGTAACATCTGGAAAAATCTGTGCTTGCCCACACTGTGTCCCAACTCCCAGATCTACATGCACAGAGTATAAAATGGTGCATGGAAGTACCTGCAGACCTATGCTTGCATGGGCATGTAAGAGCAACAAGTGATATTACTCATGTTCAGTCGAGGCACATGGTTTTTTGATAGACTGTACTAGCGTCCACCCCATTATTCATTGTTTTCTATTCTGTGGGCATCACAAGATATGGTTTTCCACCCAGCTGCAGTGCACCAAGGGCAGCCAGTGGTGTGCTCCAAAAAAAGATGACATTAGATGAAGGGGAGACTTCAGTTTTAGCAGCTGGCATTTTTAAAACAGAATAAGGAATAATAAACAGAATAACGTGTGTGTATGTAAGCAGGACATTGCAGTAATCCAAGATGTTGAGATGATCTGGGCCTGAGAAAGCATTTTAGCTGTTGGGATAGAGAGGACTACCAGATTTTGGGGGAGAAAGAAGCGGTTAGACTTAGACAGGCCTGGATGTGGGAGAAAGCGCTGTTGACTATGATACAGATGATACAGAGTACCACCTATAAAGTTTGCGGACAATACCAAACAGGAAGGGGTTGCAAGCGTTTTGGAGGACAGGATTAGCATTCAAAATGACCTCAATAGATTGGAGAAATGGTCTGAAATAAACAGGATGAAGTTCAATAAGGACAAATGCAAAGTACTACACTTAGAAAGGAATAATCACAAATACAAAATGGGAAATGACTGCCTAAGAAGGAGTCCTGCAGAAAAGGATCTAAGTGTTACAATGGACCACAAACTAAATGAGTCAAGTATGTAATATTGCTGCAGAAAACACCCCGCCTCCCATTCTGTGATGTATTAGCAGAAGTGTTGTAAGCAAGACAAAAAAATATTAATTCTTCCACTCTACTCAGCACCGATATGGCCTCAATTGGAACACCATGTCCAGTTCTGGGCACCAAAAGTTGGAGAAAGTCTAGGGAAGAGCAACAAAAATGATTAAAGGTCTAGAAAATACAACCTATAAGGAAAGACTAGGGAAAAAAAAAACCAAAAAAAAAACAAACAACCTTGGTTTAGTCTGTAGGAGAGAAAACTAAGGGGAGACATGATAAGTCTTCACGTACGTAAAAGGTGGTTATAAAGAAGAGGGCGATAAACTTTGTGCAGAGTTTGTGGCAAAGTTCTCAGGAATCTGCAGAACTAGTTACTGGTTCTAAACTTAACACAGGACTATTCAAGGTTTACCTTCATACTCTGCTTTGATCCTCAGAGTTTCATCTGGTCCTTTGTGGGCAGATGTCACTCGTAGCTCACAAGGAATTCCAAAGTTTGCACATGCCTTTTTAATTTTTTCACAGTGACCAAGATCAGAAGACGATCCCATCAACACCACAACTCTACCATGGCTCTTTGTTTTCAGCAGCAACTGGAGTGGAAAGAAGGGAAAATGAACCACAGTATTTTAAGAGAGTACAAAAGATTGTCAATTTCTACACAGACTACAGTTAATATAAACAGGGGGTACCTCCACTCTTTCTGCAACCCATTCAAAGTTTCTTTTAACCATCTGCAACGCTTCAGGGGTCACTTCTTTTAGATCACGGTAAGACTGAAATACACAGATAGCAAGTTACTCCTCATGTTCTATTTGGAAGTGTGATGGTCAATCATTTTTCTACTTAAATATTCAACCAGGTGCAACCATCCAACTACCAGAGGCTAGAGAAATTTATGCCATCTTTCAAACACCTGTTTCTTGAAATATCTATATCTATATCTATTCTACAATAGCTTCTTCCCCGTGAACTGAGGCCAACATGACATCACGGGAATCCCCACATCTCAAATTTTGAGCCATTAGCTCCAGCAAGCAGTATGGTCCACCACATTATAGTAGAGTCAGAACATCCCCTACTTCAATCAATTCCTTTCTGAGAGAAAACTCAACTTCTGTGCTTGGTTGCCTCAGCCATGATGTGTTAGCCAGTCCTCTCATGCCCAACTGAAGTCAGTTGTTGGCTTCCTTGCAAATAGACACCATGCTGCTTTGGCACGTTAATTTTAATTTGGAAGCAGAGCTTCAATCACAGGACAGCAACTGCAGTAAAGTACAGCCAACACCTAACAACCCCCTTCCCCCCAAAGTTATAGTAATGGTCGATTACCACCACACCAAGGATTTGTTCAGAAGCATTCTGTAGTATAACAGCTGAAATGAGTGAAGAGGAAACACCATAATTTTTCATTTCATTCAGTTTTTAAAGGAAGTGGACCTAATGTGGCTTTCCAGTTTAAATTTGTTAGTAATGGCACTGGAACACTGCTGTATCTTGGATTATCATAGACACAGGTTATGGCAGCTTGTGCCTATTGGGGAGTGTCTACATTATTAGTGGAAGTGACTAATATCACAGAAGTTCCATGAAAGCAGTATTCAATGCAGCTAAAATGGTGCCCCCCAATGGACTCAGCTTAGCATAAACCACAAACGTTTGTTCCAGGAAACAAACATCTGTGGACTGTCTAGACTAGTGGCTCTCAACCTTTCCAGACTGCTGTACCCCTTTCAGAAGTCTGATTTGTCTTGCATACCCCCAAGTTTCACCCCACTTAAAAAACCCTACTTGCTTACAAAATCAGACGAAAATACAAGTGTCACAGCACCCTATTACTGAAAAAATGCTTACTTTCTCATTTTTACCATATAATTATAAAATAAATCAATTGGAATATAAATATTGTACTTACATTTCAGCGTATAATATATAGATCAGTATAAACAGTCATTGTCTGTATGAAATTTTAGTTTGTACTGAATTCATTAGTGCTCCTTATGTAGCCTGTTGTAAAACTAGGCAAATACTGTATCTATGAGGTGATGTACCCCATGGAAGACCTCTGTGTACCCCCAGGAGTACGTATATTCCTGGCTGAGAACCACTGGTCTAGACCAGCAATTATATCAATGTTAGTTATCAGTTAAACTGGAGTTAAAACAGGACAAACTTTGGCCTAGACAAATCAAGAGGCTCTGAAAGGGGAAACGTGGGACGCGTTGGTGAACCAATTTTTATCTTCATGGCATGTTTCTGACTTTTAGTACTTTATAAGTGTGTTTGTGTTACTCGGTTATTTGAATAGTTCACACTCTGAGAAGTACATTGCCAGAAGTTCTGGAGATCCTTGCAGACTTAACACTACACAGGGGACTATGATAACACCAGAAAATATTGCGGAAATTCCTATTAACTATACAGGCATCCTTAAGGACTTGATTCTGTTGCCATTAAAGTCAATGGAAGTTTTGCCATTGACGTGAACAGGATCAGACCCTAAATGCTTTGTGGCCTACCTTGCATAAGCATAGACAGCTAAGGAAAGCAACTCACAGCAGTTGCTTGAACGCTGTCTACATCCCCCCCCCGCCAAAATGAGATGTAGTTTTATTTTTTAATCTCTAATTCAGACCCAAAATGGTAATAGTATTACCTGTTTGTCCTTCTGCTGGCTTCGGTCTCCTGATGGCCACAGTCTCCAAGAATCATTATCAATAACATCAGCAAGGACAATCTCTTTTGTAGTTATATTAACACCAAACTCAATCTAGCAAAAGTAAACAAAAGTAAACTTTACAGCTATTTTCAAGAGCTGTAAAGAAGCATCAAAAAACGTATTCCACTACTTTCAGAACCATGATCTACAAGATAGATTTTTTCTTATACCTTCATATCTACAAGAGTGCAGTTCTGGGGAAACCAAGATTTTTCCAGTATCTCAAAAATAGCCTGTGTAGAGTGGGCCATAATATCCACCTCGGTTTGTCCAATAGTAAGTCCAGCAAAGCAGAACTTGGCTTCGATTAGTTGCTCCTCAGACCATTGTGGATCATTAGCAGCATCATCCTGAGAATGAAATAAAATAAACTTGCATAGAATAAGATCAATTAATGACAGTTACATCAGACTTGAGTTAGATTAAAAGAAAGCCTAGCAAACAGTGAAGAGAACAATTTGAAATCCAGTAACAGACAGGTTTTGTGGCTTTAAATTGATATTTGATAACAAGTCCTAGCAAGAATTTTAATCACAACAGTACTGAGAAATCCAAGCTGCAAGACTTTTAAGATAACTTGAAAAAAGCATTGCTTACTTGAACATTAAGTCTTGAAGGTGCATCACAGAAGTGAGTTTAAGACAAAGCTTTAACTATTTTTAGGTCAACAGTCCACAAAACTTCTAATTCAGTGAATGTTTCTAGAAACCCTGATAAATCCTAAAGGATTAGCTAGTTACACCACTCATACTTTAGCAGACAGCAATGGAGGGGTGTGTGTGTGTGTGTCTATATTTCTTTTATCTCCACTGTATGTGGTATAAAAAATAATAAACTGTAACACTGTACACCTTTCAACTCTAACCACCACTTAGCCTACAAATCTATTTCTACTGGACTACAGACAGTTCAGTTTTAACAAATTCCAAGAGGAGTTTCTCTGCTAGTATTTAAGCAAGTAATGCAAGTTTGACTCTAAATGTTATTCTTAACCTGCTTATTTGGAAGCAGTCAGCACATTACAGTAAGACTACTTGATCTATATTTTAAGTCACTTTTCAAGAGTTCTTTTAATCTTGAATTGGACAGAAGTTGCTGTATGAAAGCAACTGTTGTAAAATCTTGAAGTATAGATTTTGCTATAGCATGCAGTGAATACAATCTTTCTATATATAAGATGTATGGTTGTCATCTGATTTCAAAAGGGAACGCCCTTGTATATTGCTGACGTACCAGGATGGTTACTAGCCAGGTCCTTTCATGCTCCCCTCCAATTGGGGAAAAAAGAGACAGACACTCTCAAAGTTTCACAAGGATACCACTTCCCAGAGTTTTAGTCACATTTTCCCCACAAGGGAAAGAAGTTAAGCCTCCTGAAGTGGCCAGCATGCAAGAAAATAGATCACAGTCCCTTGGGGAAAGTCTTCCCTGCCCATTCGCCATTCAGCCCCAAGGCAGCTACTCTGTTTGGAACCTCTCTGCTACTGAGTACCCCTGAATATCACTGAAGAGTCAGACTAGTTATTAAAGACTGGTCACTATCCCCTCTGTGCCATTTCTCTCTCATCCCCATACCCTTATCAGCTTGCAGAACTCTGCGAGGAAGCATACTGTGAAGCCAATGCTCCCTAACCAAACTCAGCTTGCTTTTGTCCCTTTCAGCAGCATAAGAGAAGAGGTCCCAATGTTTCCATGCTATTAAGATTGTTCAAAAATTCTGAATACAGAGACCAGAATCTGCTGAATGCCTGGGGTTACCAGTAAATTTACTCAAACCAGACACTACATATACCAGAAGAACTTTGTCAGCAAAGGACTTCTAGGACTAGGATAAAGCCAACGTCAGAAAGATAAAAAGGGTTGATGCTCTAAAATGTGTAGCACTCCTCGACTAATCTTTTCCCACCCCTTCTGCTTCCAGTCCAACCAGAAGTTTCTCATTCTAGGTTTACCCTCCCACTCCCTACCCCCAGAGTGGGACCTCCTCTCTAAGCAGGCCAATCCCTGGAGAGATATATCCTTATCTTGTCACAATGATAGTGGGGCTGTGACCCCACACCCTTCTATAAGATGTTGAAGTTTCCTTTATTTGATGGCTCACATGATGTGTAGTTAACTGCCATGATCTTGTTATATTAAGAACTGAGGCTAAACTCCCTGTATATATATGCATCCGAAGAAGTGGGCTGTAGTCCACGAAAGCTTATGCTCTAATAAATTTGTTAGTCTCTAAGGTGCCACAAGTACTCCTGTTCTTCTTTTTGTGTATATATAAAGTCACCATTCCCCAACAGGATTAGCATGGACTGCTGGTACAGCAGATTAAACCCTCCTGAGTTTCCTGCATCACCTCACTTTCACTTTGCTCCCAAACCCTGCCAACACAAGAATGAAAATCATGCATGAACTCTGTCACTTTATCACGTTACATTTGTGTAGTGGTGTAGGTATGCGGAGGCAGTGTAAGTGATTTAAGGAAGGATGGACTTTTTGTCTTGTAACATGGACCATATTTTAATAGATTATTTTGTTGACCACATCCTCTCACTCACTATTATGCATGCTGTCTCCCCATTTGTGATCAAAAGACCTCCTCCCCTCCTCATTTACCTCACACCCGTTTCAATTACAGCAATAGTTTACATTGTGTGTGTTAACAGAGTGTTTAATGCATTTTTAGCTGCTTTGCAATGAGATTTAAATACTGGCAATGAGCCTGTACTATGTGACCAGTCGACTTTCTGAACTAGTTGGAGAATCTCTGATCTAAGAGAATATTCAAGACAGACATTTTAGCAATGTTTGCAAAATACAGAATCAATACTAGTTTCTTAAAATCCATCAATAAGTAGTTCCATTTCAGTTTAAAGGGACATTTATCAACCTAAAAAATACTTGTCTGAAAAGGTTGTATTTATAGCTGCTATAAATATAATAGATATTTCTTTTCCCCTTTGTTTGCGTTATGTACAGTCAGTTTCATTATTTTTTCAGTAGGATCATATTTGTATGGATCTTGCACGCAGCAATAAGGAGAGCACACACACAAACAGAAGTGCAAAAACCACAACAATTGACAGAATTTCAGGCACTACACCTGCTCCTATGTTCAGTTTATTTTGTAAAAATGATACTATTTGACACATCACCTTCTTTTGTTTAATAGATAGTTACAGTTTTACTTACCTTGTAAAACATTTCAATTTTGGGTGGGTAAAACTTATATCCTTCCTTGACACCAGGGTTTCTTTTTAGGAAAGAACCAGTAGCAATTCTTCTGCACACCCATTCAATTGGAATCATTTCACACTGAGCTGCTATGAACGCTGTGTCGCCATGTTTTCTGACAAAAGCAGTTTTGATTCCTAAATGTAAAAAGAAAACTCAGTTTTGCTACTCTGTGTACTTCTATGAGTGAACTGAGAACGGTGACCAGACTGGTGTATAATTGATCAATCAGAAAATTATTTCATCAGGAGATTCTGTTTTCTCAGAGACCTTAATGTATCGTTCTGTAGCTACAATACACCTAAGATGATTACTTCCCAAGTGAGAGAGACCTTAAATCGGGGTGGGAAAACTTTTTGGCCTGAGGGCCACATCTGGGTGGGAAAATTGCATGCAGGGCTGGGGTGTGCAGGAAGGGACTCAGGGCAAGGGGTTGGGGTGCAGGAAGGGGTGTGGCAGAGGGCTCAGGGCAGAGGGTTGGGGTGCAGGAAGGGGCTCAAGGCACAGGTGTGTGGGCTCTGGCCCGGCGCCGCTTACCTTCAGAGGCTCCAGGGTGGCAGCAGCATGCAGCGGGGCTATGGCTAAGGCAAGCTGTCTGCCTGCCCTGGCCCCACGCTGCTCCCGGAAGCGGCCAGTACCACGTCCCACAAACACAAAATGGTCTCAGTCCAGAAAGCACTCACTTCCCCAATTCCATTCAACAAAATACACTGTACATTATAGAGAGCCTTAGAAACCAGTTTGTAGTGTGCTTTCAGAACTGGTTTAAAATCACTTTGCAATAGAACATTTTTTCCTGATCATGCTATAGGTCAGTGGTGTTCAATATTTTTTCATTTGCAGATCCCTAAAAAATTTCAAATGGAGGTGCAGACCCTTTTGGAAATTTTAGATAAATTCTGCAAAGCCCCGGGGTTCCATGGACCACAGATTCAAAACCACTGCTATAGATAACCAAAGTCAGTGCTCCTAATGGATGCCTGCCCATTTTCATCTTTCTGCTAGTTTATGTCCTTATGTCACATTGCACAGTTGTCATGGAGGGAAACAAACATAGGTACTCTGAAACCAAACATGTAGCTTAAGTAATTTTAAAAGTCAACCATCATAATAGTTTTCATAGTATGTGGCAAGCTATGAATTCATCTCTGCAGATACTCCCAGTATAAAGTATGTTGACTATTACATTATCTTGGTGTATGTTAGGCGCTAACTGGAGACTTTCTGAGCCAGTAATAGAAGGCAGCAGAAAAGATAAAAGCATTGTTTCTCCCCCCTACACCTTTGGTTTGAAGGAGGGGAAAGATGGAAAAAGGAAACTTGCTACTCCTCATTTGCATTACTGTACTGGACTTTCCAGATAATGAAAAAAGCTACATGCAAATTAAATCTTTTGTTAGTTTCTTCCAAGAAGAGTCACAAATATATACCAATCCAGTAGCTTATGAAGTGGCACATCTGTGGTATTCCCTTCTATATGAATTCAGAAGGGACAACTGGTCCAAGTCCTGGATACTTAAAAAGGCAGCTGATGTGCAAGTCACCATTTTGAGTATGATGTGGCCCTCCCCTCCTACTTCAGTTCCAAAACCTCCACCCTTTTTTGCCAGGCCAAGCCAACTGTTAAGTCCCTGATTTGGCATCTGCCAATGGCCAAAAGCAAAGTAGTCAGTATCTGGTAAATCCAGAGTGGATATGTTCCATTCCAATTCTGAACAATTTCAAACTTTTTTGTTGCTCTGAGGTGTAGGTAGTCCTATCTGACAGTAAGCCTTCACTCTCAAAGCAAAGTTAAAGTCCAGTCAACAATTTGTTAGTGTGTTTTTACTCTACTTCACAAAAGGCAACCTATACTTTAAATGAAGCAATTTTAGGATTACAGGACTGATTTCTAGAACAGCTAGATTAATATAACCGTGTCAATCTTTCTTGGACTTAAAGGTGGATGTGTTTAATATTTTCAGGATTACAGGTTGACTGCCTCTGGTGATAAATTAAAAAAATATTCAACACAGCGTTTGAAGACAGTTTATACGTAATGAATCAGTGTTGTTCTGTTAATTGATTTTAAGTCAGGAGATGACAAGTAGGGCCAAAATAGGATGCTCTTCTTCTTGGTCAAACAAAATGTTTAAGATTCAGTATCTACACTGGTGTCCATTTTAATTTAAACATATCATCTGATACGGTGCAATCAGACTGTAAATTGTGGTTATTCTGCACATCAAGTCACTTTTAAATTTCCGTGTGCATCTCATCTGCTTTTATTGCCCTTCTCTTTTTCCTGAATGTGTATTTTAGAGCTGCTATTCTTAGCTCACAGTAACTGCAAGTCAAATTCTGTTTCTATCAGAAGAGTTGAAGAAATTAACAGAAGTCTCCACTTATAGACACCGCTTTTGTATCACCTGTGGACTTTGCACCACTCTTCTGAACTGGGGTTTCTTTCAAAGTAAATAAATTGGTCACCAATTGAGGGAAAGGCAATCTGAGAAACCAAGGATACTTTTGCTGTTTACAGATGCGGTTGCAACTTTTGCTTAGTCTAGTGCATACCCAGGTCAGTTTAGTAAGGGGAATGTTTCTTCCCCTCCCTAGCGCCTAATGAATGAAGCAGATTCACTGTTTTTTTTTTGTAATGATTAAAGTAGTGATCTTGCAAACATCACCAGACATTTGTACCCTTTATAGCCCAGTTTACTTTGGGTAAAGTTGTCAGAAACATGTAAGCGACCTAGGATCCTAAGTCACTTAGGTGCTTTTAGGGCTATCAAGCGATTAAAAAAAACGGAGTGTGCAATTAATTGCGCTAGAATACCATTTATTTAAATATTTTGGATGTTTTCTACATTTTCAAATATATTTATTTCAATTACAATACAGAATACAAAGTGTACAGTGTTCACTTTATATCAGGGGTGTCAAACTCAATTGCACAGGGGGCCAAAACTCAAAACTCGCGGGCCGAACAGTATAACCATTTATTT